ATTGAGTATCATGCTATTTCTCTGTCAACCAAGAGAAACAGGTCTGAAGAAAAACAATGTTACTGGGACAACATTCTTTCCCAGAGGTTGCTAGGCTCAAAGGTCCCTCTAGGGAATATGAGATAATAGTATTTGCTCTAACTGTTTCTCTGGGCATCTCTTCCCAGGGGCCAGAGAGTCTGGCATAAACCTGATGGTGGTGGTTCTGCTGTGTGCTTCCTGAGAAAGCATGTTCCTCTTTCAGAGCCACACAACAAACTTGAAGTGGCAGCAGTCCCCAACCCCTGGAAACTTGACACCTGGGGGCTGAGAGGTCCTGGGATCTAACAGAGGTACAGTAGCCGTTGGTCAAGTAAGTGTATTAGGAAGACAAGCTGCAGGAGAGTGGTCTCAGGGGAGGACCCACTAGAATTACCCCTCAGAGGTTGGGGGCTCTCTGCTCAGTTTCACCCACAAGGACTTAAAGTGCTCTGCATCACAGCCTCATGGTGGGCAGTGTTATTGGGAGCTGGTCAAGAGAGCAGATGCCAGAACTGGAGCCTGGGCTGGAGTTAGTCCCAGTTCCAAGCAGGAGTTAAGTCTGGAGCCTCAGCTGCCTGCCTCATGGAGTTGTTGAGGGATCAGCGAAATGATATGTGTCAAGTAGTTAGCTCAAATATGAATTGCATTGAATAAATGTCATTGTCCTGCTCAGAGATGGTTGATTTGTGCAGGTGCTGCGGGAGGAGAGAGTTCAGGGGAGTTTAACTTAGACTAGTGATACTCAATGGGGGGGGGGTGATTTTGACCCCTCCCCAAGAGGGCCTCAAGATGTTTTTGCTTGTTGCAACTAGAATGGAAGGGGTGCTACTGGTATCCAGTGGGTCGAGGCCAGGAATGCTGCTCAGCATCTTACAATGATAGGCTAGTCTTCATCACTAAAAATGACTTACCCCCAAATGTCAGTAGTACCCATGCTGAGAATCCTTGGGCTCCACTCAATAGAGGGAGATCAGAAATGAAGGCGATGTAGGTGAGGTGAAGCCGGGGGCTAGAGGCTTCCGGCAGGATGAACAGCAGGTGCAAAGGTTCTAAGCGGGAGACAAAACCAGGAAGATGGAAGATGTCTGGGAATGAGAGGAGCTGCGGTGAGCCGTGGCAGGGTAAAGTTGGGTAAGATTCCCTCTACATTCTAGCTGTCACTTTGGCTGCAGTATGGAGAACAGATTGCAGGGGCTGAGACTGGCCATGGGGAGACCAGTGCATAATGGGTCATCCAGGTAAGAGATGATGGTGGCCTAGATTAGGGTGTTCATACTGGGAATACATTTTCCACTTCTGTCCAAGAGAGGATGGTGATATTTAAAATCCACAAATTAGGAATTGATGGAATGTGTGAAGTGAGAGAGGAATTGGTTGTGCTGGCTAGGGTTGTGCAGGTTGTATACCCTGTGGAATTGAGCAATGCCTGGGATAGGGGGTATCTGGGAGTGATGTCCAGGAAGCAACAGAGAAGTGGATGCTGGAGCCAAACATTTAGAGTCATTGAATAAAATGTGTAAGGAAGTATGGAAGATGACAAAGTCCTCTTCATCGAGACACTTGCAATCCGTATCACAAATATTTTCACACTTCAGATGTGCCCCGAGCATAACGTGGCATCCAGTGTGTGGATTGCAGGGTAAATAGCACACCCGGGTTCTGAGCATAGGTATGAGATACAAAAAACGAACAGGTTGCCTCACAGAGAAATGTATACACTCTTCTCTCCTCAGCCTTTGTTGGAAGAAAACAGTGACCACAAAGCTGCATTATTTTTCACACATATTTGCTGCTGCTCCCTCGGGGAGATTTCTGTCTCTCTGCTCCTTGACACCAGGCCTGGCCATTGAAATGTGAGTGGAGGTGAGAGGAGGGTATTTCCTGGCAGAAGCTCTTAGGGGCCGGCATACAATTCACTCTTCCCACGGCTGTGATAACTGACACTGCCCCAGTCAAACGTGTAGCCACCTGCCTGAGTCCCGGAGTGAATTTGTCATGGAGCACAACCATAGCAACCTGTGATGGACATGTAGCTCTAGTGAGAAATAAGCTTTCATTGCTGTCAGCCCTCGAGATTTGCACATGTATGTCACTGCAGCATAATTTAGCCTAAAGAGACAGACACAGAGTCAGCGAGCTGCCCAGTGGAGGCCAGGCTCAAGGTAATGCAAGCCCCACCTGGCACAGAGGATTAGAACTCGTGGACAAATTAAGATGGTCTGCCTCAAACACTGATGATAAGAAGCACAAAATGAATAAAATTAGCTCCCTTTGGATATAACCTACCCCAAGATATAATGAATCTGTACAAGTTCTCACAGCCCCAAGAAGAGACTTCTGTAAAAGATACTTCATTGTAACATTTCAGAGTTGTGCATCTTTAAAAAGCATTATTTTATGAATCTCCACACTTATTGTCTCATTTAATCCTCCCAGGAAACTGAGGCTTTGGATGTGTTTGTCACTGGTTCACACAGCTAACAAGTTTCAGGGATGGTGTTCAAACTGGGTCAGTCTGGACCCAAAGCCTTTGCTCTCAACCACTAAGAGACTTTTTTTTTAATTGAGGTATAATTGGCATACAACATTATATTAGTTTCAGGTACACAACATAATGATTCAATATTTGTATATATTGTGGAAATAATCACCACAATAAATCTAATTAATATACATCACCACGCATAGTTACAGAATATTTTTTTTTCTTGTAATAAGAACTTTTCAGATATACCCTAAAAAAAATTAAAAATGGATATCCCTTTTGACCCAGCAATTGCACTTCTGGATATTTATCCAAAGAAAACCGAAACAATAATTCATAAAGATCTATGCACCCCTACATTCATAGCAGGACAATTTATAATAGCCAAGATATGGAAGCAACCTAAGTGCTCATCAATGGATGATTGGATAAAGAAGTTATGGTTCACATATACAATGGAATATTACTTAGCCATAAAAAATGAAATCCTACCATTCGCAACAACATGGATAGACCTAGAGGTTATTATGCTGAGTAAACTAAGTCAGACAGAGAAAGATAAATACCATGTGATTTCACTTATATGTGGAATCTAAGGAACAAAGAGAACAAACTAACCGAAAACAGGCTCACAAATATAGAGGACAATCTGATGATGGCCAGAGGAAAGGCGGGTGGGGGGTGTGGGAGAAAGGGGTAAAGGGTTAAGGAAGTACAAATTAATAGTTGATTGATGGTCATGGGGATGGGGAGCACAGCATAGGGAATGCAGTCATCATTAATGTAATGGCTATGTGCAGAGTCAGAGGAGAGAGTAATCGGGGGGATCATTTCATAAACTATATACATGTTTAACCAATGTACTGTATATTTGAAACTAATAATTAAACAAAAAAATTTTAAAAAGTATGTAGGAAGGGATGTGGCACTCCCATGCCGTCTCTAGATATACCTCTCTCCCAGCACCTCCATGTGTTCACCAGCCAGGAAGCTCTTCAAATCCTGTCCTTTTGGATTTTTACGGAGGCTTCATTACCTAGCCATGATTGATTAAATCATTGGCTCTTGGCAGCTGATTCAACCTCCAGCCCCTCTCCGCTCCCTGGAGATGAGAGGTAGCTGACATTGCGAGAGGTGAAACTATGGATAAGTGCGGGGAGGGGGGACCTACTGTAGTAGGAGCCTTGAAGACATAGAAGGTCTAAATTGCATGATTAATAATTAGATAAAACTTGGCATTCTAAAAAAAGAATATACTTTATTTTAAGTATTCATGAATAATTCACAAAAACTGACTCTATTACGCCAAAAAAGAAAATCTCTATAAAGTACAAATGGTACAAATAGCACAAATAACATCTTCTAAACACAAGGCAATAAAAAAAATAGAGAACACTTCCTAACTTTTTTTATGAGGTCGGCATAACTATTATACCCAAACCAGACAAGAATATTACAAGAAAGGAAAATTACAAGCCAGTCTCTCTCATCAATATACATGCAGAACTTCTAAACAAAATATTAGCAAATTTAATTGCAAGAATCCATTAAAAGCATGTGTGGTTTTTCAAAGCTCAAAAAAAAAAGAAAAAAAGATGTACTCTCTTAGCAACTTTTAAATATACGATAAAGTATTATTAACTATAGTCACCATGCTGTACATTACATCCCCAGGACTTTTTTATTTTATAACTGGAATTTTGTACCTTTTGACTCCCTTCATCCATTTCATCCACCCTACCCCGCCCCCCCAATTTCTTGCCTCTGGCAACCACTAATCTAGTCTAAGAGACCTTAACTTTCAGAAAAATAGTTAAGGTTCAGCATTTTACATATTAACCTTTCACATCTTCACAGCAACTCTATGGGGCAGATACTATTATTATCCTCATTTTACAAATGGGAAAGCTAAGGCACAGAGATGTTAAGTAATTTGCCTAATGTCACACAGCTAGTAAGTGACAGAGCTGGGATTTAAACCCAGGCTGTCTGGCTTCATAGTTGATGCCTTTAATCAATCTATTCTTTATTTTCATTTTTTAAAAACAAATCCTGACAATATTTAGGCAGTTTATTGTAGTTTTATTTATTTCCCCCGTATTTTTTGAGGTATAATTGACTGATAAAAATAGTATATAATTAGGTGTACAATTTGATGTTTTGATATACTGTGAAATCATCACCACAATCAAGCTAATTAACATCTCACTATTTTGATAGCATCACTGAGAGTTCCCATTAATAAAAATAATCATCCATATTACTTGAAACGAAGCCCCTTACACATATTTTCCTCACTTAATTTTTATAACAACCCTAAGAGGTGAGAATTATTATTAATACTGTGAAACATGAGGAAACTGAGGCACAGAGAGGTTAAATAAGATGCACTTAGAAAGCTGGGTGGGAAGGACAGCAATGAAGTGATCCATTTCCTCTCCAGGAGTCCACCCACTGTTAATGCTCTTCCTTCTGGTTTTAGAACTGTCCAAATATGGAAAATTGGACCTGGGTCTCTGAATTCATCCTCCTCGGGCTCTCTGAGGATCCCCAGCAGCAAAAGGCACTCTTCGGGCTGTTCTGCACCCTGTATCTGATTGGGTGCCTGGCAAACCTGCTCACCATCTTGGCCATTGTCTTGAACCCTCACCTCCACAGCTCTATGTACTTCTTCCTCAGTAACTTGTCTCTTCTTGACATCTGCTTCACATCCACCACCATCCTGAAGATGCTGCTGAATCACCTGTGTGGGCGCACCACCGTTTCCGCCTCCATTTGCGTGGCCCAGATGTATTTCTTAATCACCTTTGGGGCAACTGACAGCATCTTTCTCTCAGCCATGGCTTATGACTGCTACCTGGCCATC